AAACACAGTCACACGTCATGAGTTCTGCTTGTCAGCAGCTTGAGGTGCAGTTTCCCAAAAACCCCTACACTTATCTCCTTGAAACTTGGCACACATCATGCCCTCAAAAGGGGATACCACCCCTGATGTTTTAATTCAAATCTGCCAAGAAATGACAAAGTTATAGGCAGTTTTGTGCTTCCCCATTATAGACTATAGGCGAAACGTCAAAACAGCATCAAAACAATGAAACAGTTTCAACAAAACAAAACTGAACAGTGGTTTTGAAATTAAACAAAACTTGAAATGAAACACTGTCCTGTTGAAACATCGAAATGGAAGTCAAAACAAAATGGTGCTGTTTTGTACAGCTCTAGTGTCTACTAGACTTCCCTGCTTCCTCTAACCTCAAGAGTATCCTTCTTCTTAAGAAAAATTAATGCTAGATTTGTAAAACTATTGTTCATATAACTCCAGAGAGTAAGAACTTTACAATACAACATTTTTAAAAGATAACAATAAGCATTCGATTTTTAATATAAATTACATGAATTGAAAGTACTATGAAAAATGAGTATCCTTTGAATTCATTTTTAAATGTTGCTTATCTAACCTGTTCAAGAGTGAGTGTTTTTCTCCTTCACATTTTTTTACTTATTTCTGTAGAAGAGAAATGAAATGTCACTTGGCACCACATGTTAAATTTTTCTAAATATTTGCATAACAGGTGGAGTATGTAAACAAAAGAAAGGGGGAAAAAACTCATTCAAACTGCTTATCAAGTCTCCTCTTCAATACAAGGGCATGTAATGTAGAAGCACTAAATAAAGGGGCCTTCTGACAACTTCTTCTTCATTCTGCTTTGGAGCTGAAGGGTAAGTTGAACTTTTCTTGAACAAAGAATTTCTCTAAATTATGCTGCCAACAGTCCCTTTATATTTTCTCCTTGAATTATTTTCAAATGATTTATTATACTTCCCTTTAATGCTAATTTTCTAGTCTACTCCTATTAGAGATTTCATCAGCTGAGAAAGTGTTCAAAGGCTACCAGGTTCTTATGAAAGAAGGGCTTAATTCAGGCTGAATAGCTGCTCTTTCCATCCTGACCTGCAAGTGATAAGAACCCCAATGGTGTATCTTGATTAAGTAGCTTGAAGTTAGTGGGGCTTGAGTAGATGCAGGTCCATGGGTGAATCTAGAATTTTGAATAGGGGTTTCAAATGGTGAGGTGCATCCATCACATATAACATAACACCCGTTTTTTTCCAATTTAAAGGAAAAAACTAAAGATTTACTAATATACTTGAGGCCTAGGGCTGTATTATTCAGTATTGCACCTGTATTGCACAGTAATTTTTGGTTACTGCACAGTAAACTAAGTTTTTTATGTATGTCTTTATATACAAAACATAATTTGCATTCCAATTGCTGATATAAGAAGAAACAGAGCAGTTATCAGTCTTGTACCACTGACATTGAACATTTTATCATTGACCTCAATGAAAGCAGAATTCAACACATAAGATATATTTTAAAAAAGGATAACCATTAACTAATTAGATTCTGAACTACAAAAAGTCCAGATTTTTTTAGAAGAGTTGGGTTATGATTTATGAAAAGAAATTAAGCCTCTTGTTATTTACATTGTGTATGAGTTGTCCAACCAAGGACAAGGTTGCCTGACTAAAACAGGACAGTTGCTAGGGAACTCAGTACTCTCTGTTACAGTTTTAGTTGAATTATGCTACTAATTGGAGTATTGCCTTACAGTCCATCAATTTAACCTTTAGCAATTTCCAGCTTGATAGATTTAACCACTGATTTTTATTCTCAGAATGATTTGATATATACATAGGATTGTAGAATGGTGAACTATAATGCCAAAATGCTAAATTGGCACCAAGATTAAAACATACTTTGGCACTTCATAATAGCTACATACCAGAAAAGGCATTGTACAGGAGATAATATTATTGATGCCCAAAAAATCTGCAGACCTTACTGTCAATGCCCTTAAGCTTTGCTGTGCTTATGGAATTTTTCGTTCAAAACAAGATCCACATGTCAGAAAATGGTCTGTAAGGTTCTGATGATGTATGAAATATTCTGTTAGTTGTAAAAAAAAGCCAGAGATATATAATACTACATGTAAATGCATGTCAAGCTAGCTGTATCCTATCATTGCTACAAACCTTTCCTTTGGATGAGTAGCATACCATTTTCTGATTACGGTCTTCATAGCACTAATCAGTATAATAATTGAACACTGTCACTTGGTACTTTAAGTACATTTATTAAAGCTCTCTATAAAAATAAGGAGCAGTACTGATTAAAACAAAAAAATATTTTATGAAGAAATTCAAAGTTGCTCATTTTTTAAAATAAATTTCAACTGGCTGTGGTGCTTGTCCAAAAATAAGAACCTTTTAATCAAAACATTTCCTATTTCTTTAATATTTGCAACCATTCAGGGTCATTTGGACTTGGTGTGGTTCATAAGTCTGTTCTGCTCCAGAAATACATCTAGTCTTGCTTCTGTTGTATGTAACATGGGAATTCATCCTTTTTACAAGTTAACGTTGGGAACTGCCTTTATCCACACTGCCTGTAATACATTGTGGGTGCAACTACATATACAGTTAGCTGTAGCAATAAATTCCAGCACTGTTCCACCCCGGCTCAATGCGCTGCAGAGGGGCTGGCTGAGCCACGAGCATGAGGCTGCTACAGTGCAGGGCTAGCCACCAAGCAGCCCCCACACTGTAGCATCCTCATGCCCCAGCCAGCATCAGTCACCATCTACACATGCATTTTGGCACACTTAACTATTCTGCTGCAAGATAGTATTGTCCTGGACAGTAGTATCCTACAGCAGAATTAATTAATTTACTGTGTCTTAATATGCAGGGGCGATGCATGGGGGGTGCATGTGAGTGCACATGCACCCCCTGAGCGTGGCAGTGCACCCCCTGCAAAAAGGCACCGCCAACACTCCCGCCACCGCCATCCCCTGCCAGTCGCCGGGGGCACATGCCGTTCATGCTAATACGGGCACACATGTAGATGGTGACACTTTACCAGAGAGCTAATTAGCCACATCTGGCCACTGTCTCCAAATGACTAATTGCTCATGCTGATGTAATTAAACCAGTCAGGTCTTTCTAGATACAGGGCATGCCTACACAAGATGTTTAATGCACTATAGATTAACTGGCTGCACATTATAGTGCCATGGCACAGGCCATGCTATTAGGCTAATGCGCAGTAGTAAAAGTACCGCACATTAGCCATCATGAAAAATTGTGTGTGCGCGCTAATGCTCAGTAGGACAGCCTACTGCACATTTATTTAGTACTTCCTTTTGCAAGGCACTGCATATTAATTAACATGTAAATAAGCCCACATATTCACAATCTTACTGTAAGTATAAAAATCAAACCTGAATTGAAATCTTTATTCAAAGCAAAATTTGAAGAGTTAATATTTATTAGGTATTCCTAACAGGAAACCCCAAGCTTCTATTTTTCTCAGTCAATCATTGCATAATAAATATTTTACTGTTTGTAGCTGTCTTGAACAATGTTGCTGCCCCAGATACTTGGAGCAGTGATTGCTTTCCTAGTGGCATGTCATGCTGAGGAACACTGTACTGGAATTCCTGGAATCCCTGGCACCCCAGGAACCAATGGATTACCTGGAAGAGATGGAAGGGATGGTATGAAAGGAGATCCAGGCCCACCAGGTACTTGCAACAATTATCTCCTACATTTACTTGAGTTACAAGCTGCACTTTGATTGTTCACTAGCAGAAATAAAATTCTTCCCTAACTCTCATTTTTTTAATCAACTGTTTGTCCAGTAGTGTGAAACAAAGCTGTATGTTTCCGATTTAATATTCAATGGAATTTCATAGTGAATTTTTGCTGACAGTGGAATAACCCTGCTGTTCCTATCTGTATAGAGTTTTTGCTAGTACGGCAACTTCCAGTGGTGAATAGCTGAGGAGATAGAGAGGCAGAAAGTAAATGTTGGGGGAATGTAGACAGCACACCCTGTGAAAATGAGAGGAGAAAAGCAGCTGTTGAACTGGACAGAAGGATGGGGACCTAAAGGAGGAAGAGAGACAATTAGAGCTCTTTCTTTCAAGTTATACAATTTCCTTGCAGGAAAATCATGGCTTTCAGACCCTTTGTAGCATACTTTACTCAGCTGATCTATAGTTCATGGTCACTTGGGGGCATGCAGAAAACGAGTTGAAAACTGACCATTTGGTAGAAACTACTGCAACTGCCAGGATTCCCTTAAAATAGGAGAGTACCTGGAGCTGTGTGCTGGGTGGGGTTTGGGTGGGGTGTCAAGGATCCCATTGATCAGTGAATCACATATAGAGCCTTTTTCCTTTTTCTGTTACAATTTCCTAGTAATACATTTCGTAAATTCCCAACAAAAACATTTTAAATAAATGTATAGATGTTAATAATAATAGTGTTGATTAAGAATAGTAATTAATTAAAAGTTAATTCAACAGTAAGGAAGTATAAACAAGTGTATTTCAGAAGCTTCTAGTAGGCTTCTGAAGCATGTGGCTATGAACATCAGTAACATTTTAATACATACTCTGTGCAGTATTTAGGAGAACAGGCAAGAAGCTTTCTCCAGCTTCAGTACTTAAGACAATTAAGAGTTCCAGTGATTCAGATTCTGAAGTGCATTTGGTTGCTCATTCCAGGGGGAGAGCATTCTGCCAATGCTATACATCCAGACTTCACCAGATCTTTGGGCAGTAATGAAGTTATTGCAAGTGTAATGCTGTCTATGTCGTAGCAAGTCAATTGCTATGAAACCATGTTTAATCTGATTTTCTCATAAAAAGTGTTGATTTCCAGGAAGTTTTACAAGTCTTTTTATTCCTGTGTTTCTCTTCTTCAGGTAGTCAGGGCCCACCTGGTGGCATGATGGGTCCTCCTGGAAGAGATGGGCTTCCTGGGTTAACAGGGCCCAAGGGTGACCAAGGCGAGAAGGGGGAAAGAGGGGAGAGCCTGGACAAAGAGGTAATAAAGATAGTTTTTTATTAACCAAAACAATGAACAATTCTGATTTATGCAAAGTAGCTCAGGAAAAAGGAACTCCATCTTTTAAAGCGTAGTTCCTTCCAGTCCTGAAAGTAATTATGGGTTTGTGCAGACATAACACTTAAATGGATCTAAGTAGGGTTAGGTTGATCTAAGTGCCTGAGAAGGTAAGTTAGATCTGGAAGTGGTCAGCCTGATCTAATGAAGAGCTGTACACATTCAGAGCATAGATGCAGAGCTATGCTCTTCCTACCTCCGGCATCCCTCCCAACCTGACTGGGCTATTTAACTCCTGACCCCACCTCCTACCCCAGATAGAAAGGTCCTCCTTCACAGACCTACCAACTCCCCTGCCCCCACAGATGCACTAGCCAACTTACTTAGATCAGGTTGCCAGTGCAGCTCCAAGCACTGACACATGTATACACATCATGCCTGATATACGATCTCATGGCTTAAAGTAAATCATAGAATCATAGATCTGGTATGGTGAACGTGTGTATGTGCCCCTTGTGAAATTACACTTTAATCTTCAGATGATCAGCGACTGGACTCAATCCAACCTTTATTGACTTCACTGACTAAACTGTCACCCTTGTTACAAATGCAGAGCCACTGTACCTCAGAGAATAAGGACTCTACTTCTTCTGTGCAGCAGCACATTCCTTTACCAAATTCCAGTCTGCTACCCAAGTGATTGCAGTGGGAACCTGCAGAACCTTTATTACTTGTGATTATTTATATGAGAAGTAATCCAGTTTGCCTCTTAGTTCCCATGTTAGACTGGCAGTGTTGGGAATATATAAAAACTTTTTACTTGCAAACTGTGCATATTTCACATAGGTTCTGTGGAAGACCCTCAATGGAACCCTCCAATGACAATTTTAGAGAGATTAAATAAGCAGATTTTCACTGTAAAATTATGAGGGGTGCTTTTAACTGAGGCAGCAGTATGAACAGATAATAGAATTCCCATTCTGTAAGTACTGCAAGAAAAATAATTCATTGTGGCCATTAAGTCACAAACAGCATAACATCAAATAAGCAACTACTCTTCAAAAGTTTCAGGGGTCATTATAAAGAAAAAACAATCTTCGACTTTTTAAATATTTTAATTTTTGTTTTCTTTATATAATGTACAGGGAAATATATATATATATATTAATAAAATATATGTAATATACACGGAACCAATTTTTCCACTAGAGAAACTGACGAAAACTATATCAAACTCAAAACAGTTTGGTTAATTAGTCAAATACACTGAATTGTATCTGTCAATGGGGACCATTTTAGCCTAACTGTACAAATATTATTTTTTTACCTGTAGGACTACCTGCTTCTTTTGACACTGAATTACATAGTATCTTAAGTACCTTAAGACATCACATTGCTGCACTTGAAGGAGGTAAACATTTTTTTTTTGTCCTCAAAATTTGTTTTAAACATAGTATATAAAATAAACTTTGAAAACCCAACTTATACCAAAGTAAACAACATTTTTACTGTTCCATTCCAAAACACAAATTATTCTTTCTGCCACCACTTAAGTAAGCTAAGGTCTTTTTTTATAAAATGCAAGAAGAAGAAAGATAGCCCTGTTGATAAGGAATGAGCCCTAAGAGATTTAGGTTCAGGGCCTGCTGCTCCACACACTCCCTCGGTGTCCTCTTGCAAGTCATTTATGACCATATTGAACAAGATCTCAGCATGCATATATAACCTACGAGCAGTAGATCCAGGACTGTAAGCAGTATATCCACTTCAGCACAGCAGTGCACCCGAGCTAATGTGCACTATACCTCAGCAGAAATAATTAGCCAGTGACTGAAAAACAATATGACTACAGGATTTCTAGTTCCAGAGTTAGTGTGCAGAGCTAGCTCAGGGTATAATTGCATAGTGGGCAACACCAGGAATGGTACTTAGAACAATTATAAAGTGCTGGTCTTTTTACACAGCATATGCATAGGCACAGGCTAGAAATGATCAGATAATATGTTGATAAATGGGATATACAGGCCTCTATAGAACAGAACAGAAAGGGGTTAAGGCTAGTACAAAGGAACCTGCTGTACTCATCTGGAACATAGACTAGTGCATAGAAGATGTAATAGACTAAAGAGTTATACATCAACAGATGTGCTCTTCCTCTTGCTTAACAAATTGCTTTTTCAGAGTAGTTTTCCTTCACCAGGAGCAGCTGATTAAGGTGCAGCTCCCACTCTGAGTGGATCTGCAAATCTAGTCAGTGCAGAAAATAAACTCCCTTGGGCCTAACACTTCAATGTGGTTAATTATAAGGAGGATCAAGATTCACCCATGGTAATGTGTGTAGCCCAACTCTGTTGAATCAGAGAGCCTCTTGGGACAGTACACACACAAACAAAACTCCCTATGTGAAAAGCAGGAATCCCCAACAGAAGGCTGCTCAGGGCCATTTCTAGCAATAGGACACCCAAGACAGGTACCCCATTTTCTTTCTAAAAGGAGAAGAGATATGTGGGGATATAACATAGGGCCAGATTCCCCCAGAGTAGCAGGGATACTGAAATAAATATCATTCTGATTTATGAAACCTTAATTTTTAAAAATATCAGTCTAAAATGTTCAATGTCCCTGACATATACTGTGTTGTGTATTACATAATATCCATGGGATTTCATCAAACACAGGCACTTATCTAACACTAGATCAGGTCCTCAGCAGGCTTCAACTACTGTGTATAATGTAATCATTTGAGCTGGTAGGAAAATGGGGAAAGGTATCACAAAAGTTTTGTCAAAATTTCTTTTCCTTTGTTAAAAGATTAAAAAAAAAGACTAGCTCGCTGAGGCCTGAGCAGGGCTGGGATTCCTTGTAACAGAGGTACTAGGTGGGTAATAAATGATCATAAGCAAAGAAGTGCTGAAAACCTGACTTGCTAAAATTGTGAGAACACCACCACCTCCATTCCCTCTCCTTTCTTCTGCCCTCTTCTCTTTTTTCCCCTTTCTCTTTCCTCTTTCTTTCCCCTGACTATTTTCACCTTTTTTTTTCATCTATCTCCTCACAGTTTTTTCCTATATCTGTCCAAATAGTTATAGTGTAAAGGAGGCAAAAACAACTAACCTAATGTTTCACTTTAATTTGTAGTCCTTGCCTTGGAAGGGACAATTACAAGAGTGGGAGAAAAAATGCTCGCTACCAATGGAAAAGAAGTTGATTTTGCAACCACATTAGATGTGTGTGAACGAGCCGGTGGCTCTGTTGCAGCTCCCAGGAATGAAGAGGAGAACAATGCTATTCTAAGTATTGTGAAACGATTTAACAGATATGCTTACCTGGGCATAAAAGAAACACCAATCCCAGGTGAATTCAGTTATATGGATGAGACACCCCTGAATTATACAAAATGGCATCCAAGTGAGCCCAGTGGCAAAGGAGCAGAAAAATGTGTAGAGATGTACACTGATGGGGGTTGGAATGACAAGAAATGTAATTATTATCGCCTCACAATTTGTGAATTTTAAGCTGTAAATGGGCATGTTTATACGTTCATTAATGTGCAGTAGTTACTGTGCATTTAATTTAGTATTTCCTTACTGAAGTACTAACTAAATGTGCAGTAACTTGTGCTACTGCACAGTAGTGCTGGCACACAGTTTTGTGTGTCACTTTTTGAGCAGTAGCCTAATAACACTGTGCAGTAGCGTATTAGCATGGTTTTTGACCAGCATGCTACTGCACAGTGTTATTAGGCTACTGCTCAGTAAGCATGTTGTGTAGATGCACCCACTGTCTCAATTATTTGTGAGTGGGGAGGCCATGTACTACACCCATATTTACCCATATATAATTTCTATGATTAGTCTATATGAAGAAAATAAAATCAGTAAAATCAAGCTATGATATTTTCCTTTCTAATAGTTATTAGGGAAGTAGTAGTTACAAAGGGTGATTGCCTTTAACACTGTGTCCAGTTCGAGAGGGTTCCTTGTAAACATTCTGCTGTGGCTTGCCAGGCCGGAGGAAGAACCACGTGAGGAGTCTGGGGTTCACTCAGTCCATGTGAGGAATCTGTAGGTTTGTTGTAGCAACATGCCTGGATATGCAGCAATATCATGCCAGAGGAACAGATCTTATGCTTGGAAAGTCAGTACTGGGAGGGGTGAGTGGGGCTTCAGCCTCAGGTACCTACTTAGAGGGTATGGTCCTCTTCCCCCAGGAATCATAAGACAAGGTATCTAATGAGAGTTCAACAGTTCACCATGTTTTGTGTCTATCATGTTCAACTACATTTTTTCACTTTATCATCTCCCATCAGTAATATTTAAAAAAAACAACAAACCAAAAACTCTGTATATTCTATTACCATGTGTTGGGGATATGTTTACTACTCTAAAAGGAATGTGTAGAACATTATACAATTAACAAGTATACAAGGTGCGTAGTTGCTTCTCATATTAACAATATATAATAGTTTCTGACATGTCGCCTCATATTTAAAATCACAATACAAACTTAGAACTTAGATTAAATGGACCCTGAGTGTCTTTCTATTTTACTTCCTTTCTATTCTTCACAAGTATAATTCCTTATTAAAAAAATAAATAAAAGGATAAGTAACATTTTATGATCTCACAGATCTCTCAAATCTCTTGTAATTACCATGCCAGTCTACTGCTCTGAGAGAGCATTTCTGAGGCAATACATCCTTGAAGAATGCTGATTGCTTGCCAATAAGGAGATAGGGGCAGGGCAAGAATGAGAACTGAATAAACTGATTCTCTTCATCCTGTTTAAAATACAGATTATTCTGATATCATCATTACTCCTTTAATATATATTATAGTATATTGTATGAGTGTAATATAATATAAAATAATATAATGTAATGCAATGTAATATATAATCTCAGTGATTTAAAATAGCTTAACCAGTCAAATGCTAGTATATTCTTAAATTAATTAATACTTGTTTTCCTGCACAAAAGCAGTTGCTGGGACTAAGCTTTCAAGTCAGGGTGAGGAAAAATATCCCTCTCTCTCTCTCTCAAGAAGAGTTTGGCGACAACCTTTTTGCCAGCCTTACCATTTTGAGAATAAGGTGCTACTTATTGGCTGCATCTGCACATACAAATAGCAGTTCGCGTCATAGTTTATTGCTCCTGGGCACAGTGTTTACATGTGCACTCAAGACTTCAGCACACTGAGCCAAGGCATAGCATCCCTGGCTGGGAGAGGGCCCCGGGGATCAGCCTGCCAGCCCAGGGCTGCTCCACCCCAGCTCAGCATGCTGTGGAGGGGCTGGCTGGGATGGGAGGGTGCTACAGTGTGGGGCTAGCTGGCAGGCAGAGCCCACACTGAAGCACCCTTCTGCCCCAGCCAGCCCTGGTCACCATCTACATGTGTGTTTCAGCTCACATAACTACTCTGCTGTAGGATAGTATTTGTCCCAGACAGTACTATCCCGTAGCAGTTAATTAATTTACTGTGCCCTAATTTGGGCACATGTGTAGAAGGTGATGCTTTACTAGAGAGCAACTAATCAGATCTGCAGTAAAGCCCACATGTATATGCACCCAATGAGCATAAGAATGGCAAAATCTGGTCCTTTATCCCCAATGCTAATTGTTAGGCATACTTATTGAAGATACAAAGACCAGACTGATAATGGATCTAGCATAGTACCTATTTCCTCTAACATTTTATATTATCTTTTTTCCCTAAAGCCACTAGAATGACTGTTACTAATTTCCATGGGCAATACTTCATGCCCATGGTGATCTTCTATATAGCTATATAACTTAACTAGGTACTCCTAGTAATTGGGTGCACCTATGTCAGGAACACTTTCTTGAGCGTAATTGGTGATCAATTCCCTAAGGTGGTTTTTATTTTTACATGAATATATTGTATGTCTCACACAAATCCATGCAGCCCTTGTGAATTTTCTGGTCCCTAGTCTTCCCTGGCCTTAGAATGGCAGCTACATGCAGTCCTAGAATGAGTTTTCTAATGAATTTCTAATGAATATTCCATAGTTCATCACAGGATAGTTTATCCAGCATGGAAGTTGTCACATAATAATAATAGCACATAGTGACCCAACTGCACAGACTTTGTGGTCTCAGTCCCATTCAGAACAATAGGAGGTAGCAGCCACTTTGAAGGAATACAGTCTTCAACATTTCCTCTAAAGAACCTACAGTGATCAAGATGTAAAAAGGTGGTCATTCATTGTGTTTTTCAAAAATAAGTAGTTATATTCAATATATTAGCCCTCTGGTAATTTTTGTTAGTCTTTAAAAAAATAAATAAAAGACAGCAATTTCAAGTATTTTCTCCTAAAAATATATGGAACAAGTCCATATAAAAAATAACAAGTTGTAATGCACCACACTGAAAGGCCATCTAGGTTGCATATCTATAATTGCAACTGGTAGCCCCACATGTATGTGCATATATTGCAAATGGCACCATGGAGTCACACTTGCTCATTTTTGCCTTCTCAAGTAAAATGAGTACAGTTGGGCTAATCATGTTGAATGATGCCTGAAACAGCACACACAAGTGCCCTACTCCGTCACATCATGTCAGATTCATGTGCACTGGTTTCAGGGAGCAGGGCTTGGCTAATGTCCAGCATTTCCCTCGTTTCCTCTACTTTTCTGCAAAGTAACCTGCTTATCCAAATTTTGAACAACTGCTATACAGCTGGCATTGATTGCCATTGACATGGGACTTAAAGAAACCTTGAAGGAAGGCCTAATTTCACAGAACACTTTGGCAAAGCTCCCTTAATGTCCAAAGGGCCTGGATTTCACTGTGCGGTTCTGTTTCTAGCTCTGACAGTGATAAGCTTTGTGACTTTCAGTGAGTGAGTTCACTTCTGTGTTCCCCTTCCATTCTGTGTCTGCTTTGTAAAGAACATTTGCCTGGCAATACCAAAGGAAAAAAGGACACACAGAAAATTCAATGACTATGCAAATGTGTGAAAACTAAATAAACAAATTATTAAGTATGCCTAAACAGTGATCAATTATTTAATGAAAGAACTCCCTAAAGAAACATTTAAAATGATTTTTTTTTTGGTACAGATGAGATCCCGACTAATGCTTGTTTCTTCCAATGAACCAATATTTGTAAAAGACCAAATTCTACATTTGTGTGTGTAAGCACAAATGACTACAAAGAGGATGGAGACAGTCTTTTCTCTGTGGCTGCAGGGGACAGGCCTAGGAGTAATGGCCTCAAGCTGCAGCACAGGAAATTTAGGTTGGAGGTTAGGAAAAACTGCCTGTCTATGAGAGTGGTCAAGCATACTTTCCTATGACCCTATGGATCCATGTGAAGATCCATGTGATCTCTGAATGTAAAAAGGTGAATACAGAAAGTTATCAGAGTTTTTCCATCTTTCATAGACTCAGATCATAATTAAATAGATAACAGTCACTTGGTAGTCTGGTTGTCAAGACAATGTACCTTCAAGCAGTCTTCTCCAACCCAGTGTGAAATAACAGGGCTTTGACCACTTCTTTCAGGCGACCATCCTTTATTCTTGTAGATCTCAAGATCTGGAAATGTTTCCTACTGCTCAGTCTACATTTTTCTTAGTGCTTAGCTTCCACCCATCATGCTGATTTCTAAATAATTCCCCTCCTTTCTCAGTATTAGCACCACCTACACCACTTATATTGGTGTCAAACAACACCAGAATGAGTGTATATCTGCGTGTGCTTGAGTACTTTGGGTGATGTAGCTATGCTAAAAGCAAGTTAAGCTTGCACATGACTTCCTATTATAAAACCCTGCTTTCAGTTTGAACTTGACCAAATTTAACTGTTCAACCTCAAGTATGCCATGCCAAGAGTTTATCTCTACCTGAAACTTTTGAAAAAGTCAGAGTAAAAATGGTTTGTCTTTTTCTGAAAGTGAGTGCAATGGAAAATTATTTTGTCAATTTTAGCAGGTCTGCTATAAGTTTCTATGAAAAACTCTGGAATATGCATAATGGGAAGCAGAATTTTTTCTAGGCATTGTCTTGGTGCACCTTTTCTTCCCACAAGAAAAAAAATGGCCAAATTTATGATCTTTTGGTGGGGAGAGCAGAGTAGGGAATATTCTTTCTGCATGCTTAGGGGAGACTTTGTATTTGACTGCCAAATTATCTACAGTATAAGTGTCAACTCACCTGGTGCTCCAAGCCAGATCTGAACCATGGGGCTTCTCCGGGCTGGATCCAGCCTGTTATGAAGGCTGCTACAGTGGCCACTGCAACAACAGTGGCAATGAGGTGTCCATCAGCAGTAATGAAGGGTCCAGCAGTGGCAAAGAGTCTGAAGAAGTGAGTCCAAGGGTGGTAGCCATAAGCCATGCTTGCTGCTGATGGTCATGCCCAGTGGGACCAATAAGCCCCAGATTCTGCAGCAGAGCATATACCCCAACTTCTGGTGGTCTCCAGCAGCTCAGTGGTCTGGGTATAATGGCTTTGAGGGCTGGACCTGGCCCATAGGCCATATGTTTGACTCCCCAATTTCAAATTCTGTCTGTTAGTTTTTTCAACCAGGGTGCCTGAGCACCTCGGGTATCACAAGATCCTTTGAAGGGTGCTCTAGGAAAGGTAATGAGATATGCAAGGTGTGTAGAGATAAGCTGATAAGGGTAATTTCAGGCCCTTCCTGCCTCCCTGCTCCCTCACCACCACTGCCTGTCTCCTCTGCAAGGAGATAAGACCTCAAATAATTAAACTGGTTTTAGAAATAGTGGTGTTGCTAAATTGACAAAAGTTATCAAGCAGTGCCTTGAATGTAACAAGAGATGGCTTGAGTCTTAAGAAGGCTGAGAACCAGTGGTCTATGTCCTGCCACATTACACATGAACAGATTAAAAGCAAACAAAATTATTTGTCTTGAACAATTCCCAGTAATGGCTGCTATAAGTGTCATATCCAGCCCCAAAACTAGGAAGCAAGGCACTATCTGTGCTCTCAAAGCACAGGGAGCAGAGAAAGGAGCAAGAGTAGCTAGAACCAAGGATGGAGATCAGTGGATTACAGGAGACGGGAGTCAGGTGGACTGAATAGGAACAGAGATTGAGAGGGAAGGGGTAGGGGCCATGGGGGGTATGCAGAGCCATTTGGGCTGACAGTAGAGGCATATACACAGTAAGATTCAGATTTCAGGAAGTAAAGGATGGGAAGAAATGACAAGTTTGTAGGAGGGATGAGGCAAAAGTGTCTTTAAAACACACACCATCCAAAATTTCTAATTAAACACAAAAGTCTTCTGGCTCTGCATGCTGAAAGGCTGCCTGGTCTTGGGTAATGCTTTTTTCTAGTGCTAAATTGGTGCTAAAAGTTACAAAGTTCCTTTTGAGCCAGGCATAGACATATATCAGAAAAGCAAGAGAAGATAGATAATCCTGTTGATACCCAGTGAGTCAATTCTCTCTGTCAGGTTTAGCAGAAGCAGCCTTTGAGATGTGCTGATTTTCTGGAATGGTTTACTGAAAACACAAGAAACTGTTAAAAACTGGTTTGAAAGGCTTTCATGGGTTCTTGGAATATTCTATTGGCCTACTGCTATAAACATTTGATATATATATGTAGCCTGGGTGGTATGCGAGTGGTACCCTCTCTTCAATTGAAGCGAAGTTAGTGAGTGTGAGTGTGCTGTGGGCATGTGACTGCCTAGCTTCAAGCCAGCTTGCCTCCCTCCCCTACAGAGCAGACCAGAGCAGAGACCAAGGACACCCAATTACGTTTAACTATTTACAGATTTAATTTTGCAGTGCACTGTCAATAAATTTACAAAACATGTACATCTATCTATCTATCTATCTATCTAGAGATATCTAGATAGATAGATATCTAGATAGATAGATAGATACACTATTTACAAATACACATTCACAAAAATCTTGTTAAACAATAACTCTTGTTAAACGTAAGCCCAGGCAATCTCAGCTGGGTATGGCAGATGAAGGTACTATATCAGTATAGGCCTTGGCCCTGTTTGGTTTTCCAGTTAGTGTACAGCCCCTACCCCCAGCAGGCTCTTCAGGCAACAGGCAGGCAAGGGGCAATCAACAGTAAAACACAGGTTAAGCAGTAGGTCAGCAGACAAGACCCTGCAGGGATAAATCACTGGTCTAAACATACGTAAGTTTCAATAGGACTCAACACATATAAATTCAATACATAAAGATAACAAATACAATGAAAGCAAATATTGAGTAAGGGATGCTCTAGCACGGCCTTAAGCAACTGGAGCACTAGAAGGCTAAATAAGGCAGCACATAATCATCGCATAATACAACATTAAGTATGCAAATTTACAGCGAAGGTCCCAACAATATAAGGAACAAAGACAACAATGGTACAGCAATTGTGCCCAAAAGAAGGAATTACACCAGGGGAAATGAACAGGTTACCATAAAGAAATATGACATGACTAGCGTGGCCCAGTTACCATGGAGCCAGCCCCTTAAATCTCTCTGCCACAAAGGGGTTGTCCCCTCCTCATTGTGGGGTTTCCCTTCAATCACCAAAAGGGGAACGCCCCTTTTCCCCTGTGGAAATCCTCATCTCCTCCCCTCCTAGGGACTGCAATCCTCTTCTCAGGTAACTCCCAGCAGTGTTGCTCGGTTTGGCTTCTCTCTTTCTCTCTCTGTGGGTTGGCTGTGGGGCTTCCCCCCTCGCTCGGATGGTTGCCCCATCCTGCTGCTGCTTGCTGCAGGAAGGCCCAAGCTGCTTCGTGCAGCTACCTGGCCTGGCAGCCCTCTCAGGCCCCATGTACCGCTCTGTGCACCGAGGGTTCCTGCCTCTCGCAGGGATGGGGACCCATGCTGCCTTGTGCAGCCATGGGGTCCTTTCATCTTTCCAAGCCCCCATGCACTGCTCTGTGAAACAAGAGGATCTTGCCTCTTGCAGAGATGGGGATCCATGATGCCTTATGCAGCTGCAGGGTCCCTTCAGCTTTCCAGGCCCTATGCACCGCTCTGGCAACAAGGGGCACCTGCCTCTTGCAGGGATGGAGACCCATGCTGCCTCGTGCAGCCACAGGGTCCCTTCAGCTCTCCAGACTCTCCATGCACCGATATGTGCACTTACTCCATGGCTCTCTCCATGACGGGGCTGGGAGCAGCTGTTTGCTGCTTCCCATTCAGCAGAGGTGTCTTCAGGGTGCTTCTGGGGCAACTGCTCTGCCCTGCTGATCAGCTCCACCAGCCCTTCTACAGCCTGTCTTCATCATCCCTTGTTGAAGTCATCCATGTGCTGGGCATATGAGCTTTTATCCATTCTGGAGGGTCCACCCCCAGATTAGAAACAGACCAAAGAGAAAGCCTGAGGAGTTAGTTAGTTGGTTCTTTAGACTAATGACACTCTAAAGCTGTCATTTTTATACTATGTATTATATGATACCAGGAGGTAACATAAGATTTGGATTTATAAGCTGATATGAAACATTTATTATCTTATTGAAATACGTTGCTTAGGCTGCTTTTGTCAAAAAAAATAAATGCATGGAACTGTTCCATGAGAAGAATTTCAACCACCTCTATCATTCCTCTCTTGTCAACAAGTAGGTAAGAAATCCACTGGCAGAGGGAATTTAATCAGTTATTTCATTGGCTAAGTGGTTGAATCTTCTGCTGTGGATTTAAAGAACACACTCATGACCCATTTTCATTTGTAGTAGAAGGAACTGCTGTGGTTTTGGTTTATTTTTGTGAAGTCATCAGAAAGTTGCATCCAAAAGCACAGATAAAGCAAAAATTTAAGAAATGCCAGATTTAATTTTATCCATGCCAAGTTACTTTTTACCATTTGTGCATATGCAGTAAGATAATAGAGACCTGAATTATATGATCCATTTTAGTTCTTTCCACAGTACCCCTGTCTTATTCAGTGCACAAGGCAGTATACATAGAAAATGAAGCTGACCTCTTTCAGATATCTGCTTTGCTTTTTGCAAAAAACTGAAGGCATAGTAAATGAAGTTGTACAGGTTGGCGAAGTACAACAGTTAGAAAGCCCGAGGCTGAATCGATTCAATCTTCACAGGTTAGCCTAAGCTGTGTACATTGAACCGATAAGCAAATGAACAGACATTCACTTTTGATTCCTGAAATGCAGCCACATCCCTGCAGTGACCCGGGCCAGAAGCCAGGGAGAACTAGAGCACATCTCCCTGCTTGGCTGGAGCAGACAGCTTGGGCCAAAAGTAGCCTTCACGCCCTGCAAGAGAAGAGGGGAGGAAGGAGGAGGAGGGGTTGCAGGAGAGTGGTGGGGTTGGAGGAGAGGGTGGGGCTGGAGGAGAGGGTGACCAGAATCTGGAACCAACTTCCTAGGGAAGTGGTCCTTGCCCCTACCTTAGGTAAATTCAAAAAGAGGTTAGATGATCACCTGTCTAGGGTCTTGTGAACCCAGAATTCATTCCTGCCTGTGGCAGGGGGTCAGACTAGATGGTCTGTTCAGGTCCCTCCTGACCCTAGCTACTATGATACTATGATACTATGAGAGGTGCAAAGCATCTTGCAGTGCTGGGGGACTGTGAGTTAACTTGAATTTGGAGAGAAACTGGCACGGAAGTTCAATAAACTGATTTAATGTAAATAGGTTAAGTCTGATACTACTGTACATTCATCCAGGTTTATCTTTAAACTAGTTTCAACCATTTTGAAAGCAGTTTGTTTGCACTGAATTCTGTTGTGTTAGTTTCTGATCACTTATGTGTAATTCTGTCCCTAGCTGGTATGTCTATCCTGCAGGCATTTCTTTCAGGTCAGGAAGTGAGCTAAATAGATATAATAATGAAAGCTCCATAGAGATATCCAAACGAGCTTTGAACTTGTAGGGTGCTGTTAACAGTATAGCTGTAAAAGCTCACTTCTTCTGACCACAGTGTACTTATACCTGGTGCTCTGTGCTGGTCAGTGTAATTTGTGAGGGTATAAGGGTGATGTTATAGTCATAATGGTCCAGAAATTATATGACAAGCAAGGATTTTTAGGGTGATATATTTTACTGGAGCTACTGCATAGTTGTAATAACAGTTAGACAAGCTTTTGATTGCAAGACTTTCTACATCTTCATTGTGTTGTGGAGCTCATTCTTCACAACTCATCAAGTCCTTAGTCTTGCTGTTGAGAGTACCAGAAAGGAGACTGGATGATAACAGTTTCTGCCTGCCTGAGTGATATAATATGAGCCACTCATTGGGACATGGACTGAAACCAGCAACTTCTTTAATACAGATCAGTGAATAGCCTTGAGATGGGAACAGTGTTCAGCAGTGGTATAAGAATATTAAGAGGACTTCCTTTCAAATTATGTTAATAACCATTTTTAAGCCACTGGACTGCCAGTTATGAAGAGGTGGAATAAATCCCTCCACAACTGTTTTGCTTGCTCTGCCCCTCTTATACAATCAAGCTGAACTCTTCTTATTTTGGAATATATTATCAGATTCCCCTTTCAATATTCTGTGGTTTCCTTATTTTCATCTAAGTGTGTAACCTCTGATAAGGCCTGAATGAGACACCAAATCCTTCTGCTTTATGCCTCCTTAGTCAGATTCTATTTACTCTTGGGCTTCCTATTTCAATCATTACTGAGTATGTAAGACCTTTACTATGGTATGCTGGAAAACAATCCATATATAATAGGGCTGTCATATAGGTGTACATGGAAAAGACTGTCATTTCAACTATGTGACGTGGGTTGGATATCTATGTACTGATTTAATAATCTCAGACAATATTTAATTATTAAGTGTTAAGGCTCAGTGGAAGGTCACTGGAAACATTATATACTGCAAACAACCCTTAACTGACATCTTTGCAAGTGTCTATTGTTCTTCGCCAAGAATCTTTTGCTCCCCTTGAAAGAGTTCATGAAATAGAAGTCTATTATCTATTGTCCTTCATATTTTTCATATGCATCTACAAAACATACTAAACATGCTATGAAAACACGCCCCCTAAGAAACAGTTCAAAACAAACCTTATCGTATTTCTGCCTTAGCAGGGGAATTTGTAGCAAATGACATACCCTTTATATTTCCAGTTCATATAAAATAATGCTTCTCAAATTACAAATCCTATAAATTGGACTTTGCCTTGTTCCTTTTTCATTTCATTTGGGAATTGAATGGTAAGTTGAACTTCTGTATGAACAAGAATTATAGTTACATTCTACTATAAATCTTTTTGTTTAAAGTTTCCATTTTAGATGGGTTTTTGCACTGTCTCCTTACATTCTTCTCTATTACTACACCTCTAGTCTCTTCTTGTGGTAGAAATTACCTCTAATAAGTACATAGGAGACTGAATTTCTGCTTGTGAAAAGAGAGGCACTTGAAAAATAAAGGTTAAACAATTGTTCTTGTCTTGATTGAAAAATGATTAAGTGTTAAATAAGCATTATCTTATATGAATCAGAATTGTGAAGGGTATGTCATTTGCTACAAATTCCCCTGCTAAGGCAGAAATATGATAAGGTTTGTTTTGAACTGTTTCTTAGGGGGCGTGTTTTCATAGCATGTTTAGTATGTTTTTTAGATGCATATGAAAAATATGAAGGACAATAGATAATAGACTTCTATTTCATGAACTCTTTCAAGGGGAGCAAAAGATTCTTGGAGAAGAACAATAGACACTTGCAAAGATGTCAGTTAAGGGTTGTTTGCAGTATATAATGTTTCCAGTGACCTTCCACTGAGCCTTAACACTTAATAATTAAATATTGTCTGAAATTATTAAATCAGTACATAGATATCCAACCGACATCACATAGTTGAAATATTGCTTCTCAAATTGCAAATCCAATAAATTGGACTTTGCCTTGTTCCTTTTTCATTTCATTTGGGAATTGAATGGTAAGCTGAACTTCTGTATGAACAAAAATTATAGTTACATACTACTGTAAATCCTTCTGTTTAAGGTTTCCATCTTAGATGGGTTTTTGCACTGTCTCCTTACATTTTTGTCTATTACTACACCTCTAGTCTCTTCTTGTAGTAGAAATGACCTCTAATAAGTATATAGAATACTGAATTTCTGCTTATGAAAAAAGAGGCACTGGAAAAATAAAGGTTAAACAATTGTTCTTCTCTTGATTGAGAAATGATTACGTGTATACAAAGTAACCTTGACTATTTCTTCCTCACTGTAGTGACTGTGTCTGTTGCTGCTTGCATAATTAAAACTGAATCCAGAGCTTGTTCCACAAGAGAAAATGGGAGAAGTGAATCAGTTATATTTTTAAAAAGGAAATAAAGTATTGGTTTTGTTTATAAAATGGCTAATTGGCTATATTGTAAAAGATGAATTGCCTGTTTTGATACAATAAGTTTTTAAATTTAGGCTAATTTTAGCTATATTACCAAACTCAGCTTCACTGGCAAAGATTACTAAGCTAAAGGAAGTTTGAGTCCCAAAGACAAAATATTACTTCAATATTCATATAAGAATTAACACTTAATCTTTTTTTTTAATTTTGTATAAGGAACTCAATATCAGATAATACATCTACTATATATATATGTTACAGCTGGCCAAAAATGATGCTGTCACCCCAGTTGTTTTGCATGACCACAGCACTTACCCTCTTGTTGGTGACTTGCTATGCTGAAAAAGAGTGCATAGTTTCTGGAAAAGGAACTATGGCCACCCAAGGCCAACAAGGTATCCACAAGTCTTACTTATACTGAAGTCTGGATGTGCTGGTGTATTTGGTGATTACGTTTGATAAAATGAATGCTATTTTGTTATATGGTGATGCTTGGTTAAATGGTTTGTCAAGTGAATTAAAGCCAGAGTAGCTGCAGATAGCAACAAGGTTTAATTTGGGAGCTCCTAACTTGGGAGCTCCATACAAAGATTTAGTTTCAGACCCCTACTCTATCACACAGCCTTATTAAAAGTAATAGCCATAACCTAACAGGGGCCCTTGAATAGATGGGCTGCATCCAGACAAGTAAGCATGTGAATGCTACAGTGCCTCAAAACAGTCTGAGATGCCGCAAGAGGCATGCTAAGAATGAAAAAATGTTCCCCATGCTGCACATTTGCAGTGCAGGCTCTAAATTTGATAACAGGAAATCCTGGTATCAAAACAAAAAAAAAATTCCAGAAAAAAGCGGTGCAGGACACACTCCTGGAGCATGCCCTGAGGCAACCAGATGCTGGATCCTCCAAAGAGATGCTCTGGCACCCAGCCAGAGTGTCTCTATGGCTGCCCCATGCCCCAGCTACTCCAGCATGCTGCCTCAGCATCCTGAAGCAAATAGGAGAGGGACAAAGCTGCAGAGGTGGATCGGATCCAGACTCTGTCCCAAGTAAGGAGGGACATGGGGGTGGGAGGGACTGTGTGTTTGGGGGTGGGGGGAACTGCTTGGGAAGGGTGTGGCCAGTGCCTGTGCCCCTCTCCCCACCCCCCTGCAGCAGCAGCAGCAGCAACAGCAGCAGGAGCAGCTATCAGGGCACTCATGCCCATTCCTGGCAGAGATCCCTTGTGGCACAGCCTCAAACCCAGGCACTGCACGTGGTGATAGATGTGGGACTGGCCCACTAGTGCACTCCCTTGCACAGAACCAGGCCAGCTCTTGGTGTCACCTGGGGTCCCAGCACTACACACAGAAGCTATGCACCCTTGGGTTGGGCTGGGCCAGGTCCTGCCTCCATGGAGCTGGCCCGGCCTGACAGTGTACAGGACACATGGAGGTAGGACCTGGCTCAGCCCAAGGGTGCACAGCTTCTAAGTGACCCTGAGTGACAGCAAAAGCTGGCCCAGCTGTGCACGAGGATGCACATGAGCAGGCCAAAACCCTGAGTCATGTGCAGCCACTGGGTCAGAGGCAGTGCCACACTGCTGGGAGTCTCTGCCAGGAGCAGGCATGAGTACCCCAACAATCACTGCTGCTGCTGGTGCTGCTGCTGCTGAGGGAGGGGTGTTGTGCACTGTGCGGAAGGGCGCAGATAGGAGACCCACCCCTCCTGAGCAGTCCCCTCCACCCCAACACAGTCCCTTCACACCCACAAACTCCCCCACAATCCACCCACAAACCCCACACCCCCATACCACCCCCACAAATCCCCTATCCACATACCCACCCACAAACCCCACCCCACCCCACCCAAACCCCAACACAATCCACCCAATGCCCCCACAAACCTTACCTCCACAAACCCTACATCCACCCCAACATTGGGTCAGGGATTGGGGAGAGAGGCTGCCAGAGCCAGGCTTAGAGCCTCCCTGCCCTGCTAGAGCAGCCTGTGCAGGGGAAGGCTGGTTTCAAAGGGAAGGGACTTGCCCAGCCCAATCCCTAAGCCCCAGTCAAGGGCTTCCCAGGAACAGCATGGGGATCGCTGTGGTCTAGACACAGGTGCAGGGAGCATAACAGCAAGGGCTGGCCCTTTTCAGAGACACAAAGCAGTGGGTGGGAGAGCCGCAGTTGGATTCATGTCCTGGTGCTGACAGAGCTGCTGCCAGGAGGAAACTAGTGGGGGCATGCAGGGGCTGCCAGTCAGGAGTGAGGGGCATGGGCAGGGCTGTGGATTGGGAGTGAAGGGCAAGGGCAGGGGCAGAGAACTAGCATATCAGTGCTGCTCAGTGCCCCACATCCTGGTGAGTGAAGGGGGCAGGAGCATCTCTGATTTTTCTATGGCAAAAAAACCAAAAGCAAATGCCAAAACGTATAGATATTCAGAATTCATTTTATGATGATGATAGAGGCACCTGTAGGCTTCCAAATTGCTTTAAAATTGTAAACATATCAATAAAACATTGCCCAAGGGATCTCTCTCTATAGTGGTGTTTCATTTTAATTCCAGAAGAACATGGATTTAGGGTATTTTAATGAGAAATTGGGGGGTGGGGGGGCGTTATCAGAGAATTAGCAATTATTAAACAGGGAACATGAGGATCTCTGCTAGTGAGGCAAGTGGTGGGAGCTGGGCAGAGGAGCCTGCCCAGGGCCAGCACTGGGGATCCAGATGGCAGAGTGGGGACACCAGATGATGTGACAGCAGTGCCGCCCGAAGTCCAACTGTGCAGTCACGGCCCACTGGGTCCAGACGGCTCTGGTACAGTGCCTGTACCACAGCCCAGGTGGCTATGAGGTCTGGCAGGCATGCAGCCATGGGGGCAGGCATGCAGACCTGGGTGTGGCAGGCATGCAGCCATGAGGGCCCAGGTCCAAAGGGGCAGATGCTGTCACAGGTGACGGAAGGTCACAGCTAGGCAGCAACCCTCACTGCCAGACTGCTGCAGTGAGTAGAGGGTACAGGAGCCACTCCAGGTTAGGGCTGCTTCAGGTCTCCAGCTGGCACAAGGGGCTAGTGTCCCCAAATACCAACTGGCTGGGCCTCAGAAGCTCTTGAGGAGAAGTAGCCCGAAGCTGTGCACCAGGGCAGCTCTTTATACTGCTGGGGCCAGCACAGGTGCTAGCCTAGCCTCTAGCTCCCCCTGACTGAAGATCCAGGAGGATCTGGACAGTGTCAGTTTGCCCCAAGTGACACAATTTGCCCCATACCAAAGTGCATGTTAAGGCATGTGTGCCAAGGCACAAATCTCTGACACAAATTTGTGCCACTGCTATTTGAGATGCTGCAAGCGCACGTGCCTGCACGTGTGGATGCACCCATGGGCATAGCTTGCACTGCCCTAATACCAGTTCAAACTGGCTAGGGAAACTTTTACTGCCTGCTACCACTGTAGAACCTACATAACTAAGAATGGAAGAGCTGGAACTACACTGCGATCATGGAGGATTTAATTTGAAAGCAGTGGCCCACAAAGGCATAACGGGCCAGGACTATGTTCTGGGTGGTAACAACACATGGACAGCACCTGCAGGCTTGTTGTGGCTAGTGGGGTTACGGGAGGAACAGCTCTTACTCAGATGCTGATACAGGTCAAGCAGCCAAAAGAAAACCCATTTTCAATGGCAAAGGAGGTGGCATTTGCCCTCTGCAGCTCCTCATACACCAGGTGCCGCCACTGATACTCTACCTCTCTTTACTTTGCTGACCTGGGGCCACTG